CCTCGCTGGCCTGCCTTAGCAAACTCTGCTGCTGCCTGCAGCAGGCGACCAGTGCATGCATCAAGCAGCTGCAGCAGCTCAATGCAAGCGGGAGAGGCAGTGCTATATGCTTTCAGCAGCTCCCGCAGCTGCTGACGCTGCTGCGGGAGTTTCTCTTGCTCCTGCTGCAGCAGCTGCTGCTGGGCCCGCTCCCGCACAGTCGCCGCCTTCCTACCTAGCTTCGTCTGAGGCACTGTAGGAGCATCAGGGTAACCCAAGGCAACAGAAAAGGGCTCCAGCCATCCCACCAGCCCATGAACACCCCCACGCCCTAGTTGAACTCCCTTGGCGGCAGCACTCAGCTGTTGCGCCAAGGCAGTACCCTCCACCATGGCGAGGCCGAGAAATAAAACTTCGAGTTCTAGCCTCTAAAAGCTAATCCCCTGAACATTAGCCCTTAGCAAAAGGGGATCTGGATGGGCTGGTAGCTGGTCCCTGCTGCCGCGAAGACTCTGTCGATAAGACCAGGGATGTAAGTGAGTAGGTCAGCCCTTCCCTGGGGCTGCATGAGGCCCGATGTGGGCTGTTGAGTGGCTTACGTGCAGTTCATGGGCAATTAAGGCTGATATGAAAAAGACAGGGGAGAGAAAATCGAAAAGGAAATGGGGCTTTGCAGTGCCTGAGCAATGGGTCACCGGCTCCCGAATGAGGGCCTATAGGGCGGTAGAAAGCGGAAACAGCAGAAATTAGTGTACGATATTTTCAGATAAAGGAAATAAAGGCTAAGAATCTTCAAGCTTCATCATGCTGCGACAGAGCCTCACGCAGTTCGGCTTGGTGTGGGGCCTCGCAGACCCAATGATCCCGTAAATTTGATTGGAAGCGACTAGCCTTCTGCGATGATTCAGAAGTCTCACTTCAAATGCATCCCAACTCATTTGGTCACGCGTTGCCGTGGTTTGGGTTTGGGGGTTTCTGGATGAACACAGCGGCTCACGGTCGACGCTGGTGTTCTGGGAAATGGATTTAGCGCTGAGAGGCTAGAACGTAGGGCTTGATGTGTAGCAACCCAAGATACATATGTTTTACCGAGGTTGAAACAAATGATTTGACCCGGACAGCCGCTTTGACAATTTGGAAGGGCCCAACGGAAGCACAATGTGGCTGTAGCTCAACAGTTACAAAATATTCCCTACTTCAATGCCGTTGCGCGTTTATACTTAAGAACAACATGTGTTTTAGCATATAAGCTTAAGCGAAGCAGAAGCTGTACTGCGGCAGTCTTGCCGCTAAGGATAAGCCATTCATTCTCCATACCTTTCCTCTTGACTAGCGAAGGAATTCGTTGGACTCTATCTCACTGCCCACAGCAGTTGCTTCAAAATCACCGCATGCAAACACGCACTCTATAAGTAATTGCATCTTTACGAGAGATGCCAAGAGTAGCAACTGGCTGCTAGTTGCAGCAAGCTACCCTAAACAGCAGCAGGAGTCAGCTTCCCAAAAGGCGCCTTCTGCAGTGTATCTTCCTGTATGCAAGAAGCCAGTTTCATAGAGCCTGCCTACTGCTATTTGAATTCATAGTTCCCGCCAAACATTTCAGGAGGCGAAACTGCGTTTTTGCTTACTCCAATGTCAAATGCAATCCTAGTTCATGCTTTTGAATATTAAACACAAAGTTATACACAGGTCAAACCTGGAGTTATTGATAACCGGAGACTGATGGAAGCATATCTCTTTCGTACATCAAACACACTTGCAAAAAGCAAACTTGAATATTTCAACGATTAACAAACAATACTTGAGCTTTCAAACGTCCGCTACTTCTCAGTGGCTCAAGGCTTTAGTGCGGGCACCTTTTCCGTTATTTCCTGTGAAGCATCAAGTGTTTCGCGGACCATAATAGTTCACGGCTAAGCTACAGCAATTAAGTGCGATGGCATCGCAAAAGGCTTCAAAGTTCACGTATCAGCGAGTACTTCATGCAAGGCAGCAGGTGCCCGTTGGCAAGATAAAATGAAAGAGTGTCTGGTCTGCCGAAATGTCTTCGCCACTAAAGGAACGTGTTTGCTTGTTCGCGTGAATGGCGTAACAAATCTTGCAGACGCGTCAAGTCATACTCAAGCGTGAATCTGTGAGTTGCGACCACCAGGTAGAAGACGGGTGTGATGCCAGATCCAGTAATAGGTAGTGGCTACCTAGCACGTCGAGAATTGCCGCAGTACATCAGTAGTTCATTTCTGACCGTATCACGGGCGTTCACAGTATCAATGGCACGACAAAATGAGTTAAAGGCTGGCAGTAACAAAAAGCTCATATACAGAACACTTGGACATCTCCAAACTAGAAGCCAGCAGCTCATTTACATTCAATGAAAATACACGGCTGATATGGCCCAAACTCTACTGTTCATCATGCACGGAATTCGCTCACTGAACCAAAAGCAAATGCAGTGAGTTGCGCACTTCTGATAAACTTATACCTACCACCGATGCCAAAGTAGCTCGCACTCACGGCCCTACAAGTCACATTAAAACATTTCTGCTGCATGAAAAAGGTGACATAAACTTATACCTACCACCGATGCCAAAGTAGCTCGCACTCACGGCCCTACAAGTCACATTAAAACATTTCTGCTGCATGAAAAAGGTGACAAGCGTCGCAGAAACCTGGAACGAGCTTCACTGCAATGCAGTGTGCAGCGCATCGCATGCCAGAGATATCATATAAAGCGCCTGCTCCAACCATTGATGCATTGCATGCAGCATAAGCACCTGCGGACTACAAGAATCCCGTCACAAAGCCTCTGGAAAATCACACGCCCTTGCCATTAAATTAACAAGATTTAAGCACGTTCCTTGACAATTTTTTTCACACAGTAAACGCCTGCAAGAGCGCTCGTGACAGGATTTATTAGTGAGGTGACCCTTATGACAGACGAGACAGTGTCGGCGAATTTCTTTTTTTGCTTGCTTTTGCAACGCTGACGCAGCCTCTGAGGCACGTGAAGGCGATTCGCTATTTCGCACTTACTGTGCAGCACAAATAACACAATTTTCTCTTCACCAAGAGTTTGAGCAATTGGGGGAATTGCGTGCCTCTTCGCCCAAGCGGTGCAATAAATTGGAAAGCAACTGCTTCATACTTTACTGCCGGCAGTGAGCGAACAGGAAATATCGACTTGAACGGAGATCATAATCAAGATTTGTTTCGAAGTAACACATGCTCGACAAGCCAGATTGCTACTCAAGCCGTTATACAGAAGCATCCACGTATACACAGCCTGCAGTGAAACGATTTGTTACATTGAAGACTTCACATTCGGCGCGAGGCAAGAGCAAGCTTCCATCTGCTCCAGTGTGCCTACACTGTGTTAAGAGATTGTGAGTGGAGCAGCTGAAAAACATTTATTAGTTGCAGACCACATATACAAGGTAGAAAGAGATAAGCGATGCAGTTAAGAGCACTTGCGAGACCCAGCATTTGCTTCACTAGTTTATGCCCAGCACACAAGATGTTGGCTATTGTGCAATCAGCTAGGTCGTAGCTGCATTTCGAATGGATTTCTAGGCAGACGTTTAACTGCAGGCTGTGCGGCCAGACAAATGCTCGCGGGATGCTTATAGGAGTGCTTCGATGCACAGCCTCTGCCAGACCGACTGAGGAACAAATGCACAAACAAATGAATGTGCCATGATCAAGACCTTTAGGTATTTGAGGTGCGAAATCCTGAGATGAATAGTGAACGAGCAGGTGCTGCTTTTAGCAGATATGCAAAGCATTACAGGGCGCAGCGTCAGCACTGTTGCGACGCCGAGAGCCGTTCACACGTTTCGAGGCACTTATCCTGTTTCATGTGCGCCATGAATAGGCTACACGTGAAAACATTTTAATTTAGTTGCAGTGCTGTGTCCACCACCGTGCTGGTCACTGCATACAGCGTCCAACAACTGGAACTAGTGCCAGTCAAATGATTTATCGCCAGAGGTAGACACAGCGTCCTCTGATTCAACGCTTTACTTCTCATACAATGCTACGCTACTGCATACTTTCCACAACTGCAAAACATAGTCCACTGCCTTTTATCCTGCTCTCACCGGGCGCTTGCACTGTGAGCGAAGGACCCGGTTTCCTGGCGACAGTACGGTGGCCAATCAGTAAAATTAAAGCTGAACGAAACTCTGAGATATTTCAGTGGCAGAGAAACGAGTACTTCAAAAAGGACTCATGAAGGTGTCTACTTTGAGAATGAAGATCAGTTGATCCACAAGGTGCCGCACACTCCCAGAGCAGTGGATAGGGTATGTGCAGGTCCGAATTCAATGTTTTGTGAAGGCTGATAGTATCATATTACTACTGGATAGCTAAAGGCTCAAAATATCAATGCTGTTCAGCTGAACATCCAGAGCTCACGACAGAAGAACCAGTGAGACCATTCCTGTACCACCCGTTGACACTCGCAGTGGAAGTTGCATTGCATATATGGCCTTCATTCAGGCAATGTCATATTAATTAGTCGCCTATTAAAAGTAGGACTCAATTAATTAAAGCGAAATTCGTTTATGTGCATCCTGAAGTGTCTTCTGGGCTCCAGTGCAGCTGGGTGCTGACGGGCTTTGTCCGCTGACGGACGCGACGGTTTCACGGTTTTGAGTTTGAAATTGTTCCAAAGAGGAAGCATTGCTTGATGTAACTCATTCTAAACGTTCTTTCTTTGGTTTGAGATACAGTGGCCGCATAGGATTGTTTGCTTCAGTTCCGCAGCGAAGGCAGCTTGACACGGCTCCGATAAGCCCTTGACTTCTGCTGCACATTTCGTCTTCTCTTTTCTTCTTTCAATATAACGGTTCAATTGACATTCAAACATCTTCTTTTTGGGCCGTCTGCGCAATTTTTGTGACACAGACTTCGGTCTGCACTGGGCGCTGGGGTCCTTCTGCAGCACCTGTAAAGCGGCGAGCCCGCAGTGCAACAACCTCTGCAGCGCACACCGCCTTAAAAACACGGAAAATTGGTGCACTATGGGGAATTCTGCGTGCTGCGGCTTCGAAGAGGAGGACAAGGCAAACGTGACGCTGCAGCAACTGGCGCTTGCGGGCTTGAAGGATGTGCCGCCTCGGGTGTACGCAGCATGGCTACAGAAGTACACTGAGGGTAACACTGTGGAGGTCCTGTTTCCCGATGGCCAGCGGATAGAGTGCAGGTTGACTTTGGACTCAGCGAAGAAAACCCTGACTTTATCTTTCAAGGAGAAGGTGAGGCCTATACCGTACAAAGATATTGACTCGTGGATCTATGGACCCTCAGCGGTGGACCAGGCCTCAGCCGACGCAAAGCTGCTCAAAGACCCCAAGGTTGTGGGCTTCAGACTCTCAACTTCTGGCCGAGCCATCGCCGTGGCCTTCGACACCACAGACAACGCCATTTGCTTCGTCAGGTTTCTTGAACAGATCCTGGAGGAGGCCAGGGAGGAGGAGCAGCCTAACGGGCCCAAGCCGGTCTAAGCCTCTCCACTGCAACCAAGTGTTTGAACTACGCCTCGCTATCGCAGCCGGCCCCATCATTTGAAGCAGCGGCCACATCGCAGCAGCACGAACAGCAGGGGCAGCAGCAGCAGCAGCAGCAGCAGCAGCGTTTCCCCTCGTCCCCCGGTATTGCTACCATGCTGTGACAGTGCCAAGCACAAGCCCACGCCAGGAAACTTTGGCGAACAGATAGTGGACCTCTCCGTCCCAGGACAATGGCGGAAAAGGAGATTCCGCAAGTTCCGTGAAGCGAAGGAAACCCACTGCAGCGAGAGTCTGGGAAGTGGGTGAAGACAGCTGCAGCAAAAGCCGTCTCTGCTTCGCGTTCACGCGCTCAAACAGAGGCTGCTAGTGACCCTATTGACTTTTTTGATAAGGGGGGGAATGCCCCGTAGTTGTACAGAAACCTATAGCAGCACCGGCTGACACTGCTGGGCGAATCTGCCTCTGTGCTGTGCGCCCTTTTGAAGCTTGTGAGAAACAAATACACGTATGTGTGTGTACAAGTACATACATTATGCATGTACGTATGCGCAGTACTTCGTTCCCACACATAAACACATGCGCCGCAGTATTTCTTTGCAAACATATGTATTACGTGCAGTTGCAGACGTGTCCGCTAAAAACGCGAAGTAACAATTGATTGACGCGACTCAACAGTATGCGCTGCTTTTGCTGCTAATTTTGAGCTCAAAAACGTAGCAGCAGCAGCACCACACCCTCGTCGCGCGCATGCGACCCTTGCATGCGTTTGCGTCCATGCATGCACTTGTTGTAACTTGCAAACAAGTCCTAGGCACAACAAAGCCCCAAAGTAAAACTGGTGGCAGACAGACGCAGCGGCTAGGGGGGGCCGCAGCAGCAGTTCCTTCTGCAGCAGCAGCTCCTGCAGCAGCAGCAACCAGTGTCGTTGTCACTCAGCGGCATCTAGCAAAACGCATGCAAGGTAGATTTCCGCGTAGCCCCCATCCCTGCACAACACGCACTCACGCAAATACACAACGAATGCTGAGAAAGAAGTCGAAGTGCATTCAACTGCGCTGACAGACACAATAACAAAGTCTCAGGCTATCTTCGCGCGTGCTGCTGCTGCTGAACATTTTGCACAGCTGAAGAGGATCTGCAGCAAAGCTGCAGCAACGGCGACTAACTATTGCCACAGCCACTAAAGAGGCAAATCCAGCAGCAGCAACAGCTGCTGCAACGGGACAACAGCTGCAGTGGGACTTACTCTTGGTCGTTCCTGAGGCTCCACACTTCGTGCGGGGCAACTTGAAAGAAAGCCCCACAAAGCAGCTCTGACTCCTCCCCGTGCACCGACAGTACAAGGGGGCCCCCCGAGAGCACTACGCCAAACTGCATGCATGCACGCTCACTCCAGACAGAAAAGAATGAGGCGAAGACCAAAACAAGGCACAAGATAGAGCAAACAGCTAGTGGGAGATGCAGCAAGACACGCTGCCGTAGAGGCAGCAGCAGCAGCGCACTCCACAAGCGCTTCAAAGCAGCAGCAGCAGCAAGCCGAGTCTCACTATTTCCTTTTTCTGTGCATTGTCGGGGCCCTTCACAAAGCCTGCCTTCAGCCGCAGCTTACAGGACACGAGCCGGCGGCCTTGGCGGATGACAGCAAGCTGCAGCAAAACCAAAACAGAAAAAGAAATAGATTGTCTATCTAGACAAAGAAAAAGGGTTTCACGAAGTCTATTTACGAACAGATTCATAACTCCCAACAGCCAACACGCACAGCACGTGAGCCACTGATACCTCCAAAGGCTCCCAAAGCCAGTGCTGCAAACCCAGAAAAAGCTTCCAAGTAAATGAAATACTTATTCATTAACCATAACATTCACTTATAAATGCATTAAATAGGCATGCAGGTGGAAAAGATGCCATGGCAAGGAACACACAAGGGCAGAAATGCATGTTTCCACATATCAACTTGGTTCAAATATTATGAATGGCAATAGTATGCTTCTTGTGCATGTGCGTGAAGACATAGGACTGAAACTCGGAAAAGCGTGGCAGATAAGCATCCATTTACATTTAAAAAAAAACTTGAATGTATTCAACTACATATGCAAATGCATGCATATTTCTTTGCTTTCTATATATTCTGCGCCTGCGCATGCAAGCCCACCTGCATGGCGTCACTTGGACCAATTCCCCGCCACGTTGCTTCTTCTTGTCTTATGAGGGTTTCTGCAGCACAACGAGAATGGAAGCATATACACAAGACCAGTGGTCACCCTGTGGTCCTAATGTGCCCATCTCGAATACTTCTACAACTACCACTACCACTGCTGCCGTTGTCGTTGCTGCTGTTGCTGTTGCTGTTGCTGCTGGTGCTGCTGCTGCTGTCGCTGCTGCTGGTGCTGGTGCTGCTGTTGCCGTTGCTGCTGCTGCTGTTGCTGTTGCTGCTGGTGCTGCTGCTGCTGTCGCTGCTGCTGGTGCTGCTGGTGCCGTTGCTGTTGCTGCTGCTGCTGTTGCTGCTGCTGCTGTTGCTGCTGCTGCTGTTGCTGCTGCTGCTGCTGCTGAGGCGTTGCTGCTAACTGAGGAAACTAGGCTGAACAGCACTCGCACTCACTGCCGTTTGCATCCGGAGCCAAGACACCCTCATCTGTGGAGGCATTTTTCTCTTCAGCTCCACTGCATGCATCATCAGCCCCAGAGTGCTGCAAAGGGGAGCTGGCGCTTTCTGCTGCAGTCGCGGCTGGCCACTTCAAATCGCTGCTGCTGCTTCTGCGGCTGCTGCTGCTGCGGGGCTGCTGCTCGTGCTGAGTGCGCCCTTCTTTCTCTTGTGCTGCGATCCGAGTTGGTCTTCTGTGGTGTCTTTCTTTGCCCAGCGCATGCTTCTCTCTGTGGCTGCTGCTCTTATGAAGTCTTTTTCTGCCTCTCTTGAGACTTAACCCCCTTTCCCTGGAGTTCTCTTGCTGCTGCTGCTGCTGCTTCCGAGACAGCCGCAGGGAAAGATCCCCCCCGCCCGCGGATCCGAGAGAAGTTCTGCTACTTTTTCTCTTCCGGCCGTCCGTGGTGTGCTTCCGCGTCTTTTGTTCCTGCTGCTGCTGCTGCTGCTGCTGCTGCTGCTGCTGCTGCAGCTGGAGCCGCGGGTCCTCGAGCGCGGGGGCTGCTGCTGCGGCCGCTGCAGCCTCCGCAGCGGGCGGCAGCGCCACTTGCTGCTGCAGCACCATCTTCCTCAGCAGCTTCTTGGGGTCTGCAGAAGCAAGGGCCCCGTCAGGGAGGGCCCCCACGTCTCCAGTTTGAATGAAAATGTCCAAAATGTTGCTGCAGCGAACCACTTCCACCATTCCTCTCCAGTCATAGTCTATTCTTTCGCCCATCCACCCCAGCAGCGGCCGCAGCCGCGTCCGCTGCGGGTACCGCCGCAGCGGCGTTGCTGCTGCAGCAGGCACGGCGCTGCGGTCGAGCTGCGTGCGCGGCAGTACCCTTTTCCTTTTGGGGGCCCCCCCGCGGCCGCGGGGGGCCCCCCTCCGCCGGCTCCGCTCGGGGGAGGTCTGGATGCCGCGCTGCACGCTGCGCACCGGCGAAGCAGCAGCAGCAGCAGCTGCTGCTGCTGCTGCTCCCGCTGCAGCCGCTGCCAACCCAAGCGCTCCGGGCGCATGCGCCTGCGGAGTTGCTGCGGCAGCAGCGGCGGCGGCGGAAGCCGCCGCGACCGCTGGGGCTTCTGCTGCGTCTGCTGCTGCTGCTGATGCCTCTGCAGCAGCAGCAGCAGCAGCAGCTGAAGGGCCCCCTGGCACTGACACGGGAACCAGCGCCGTTGTCTCGGAAGCTCTCCTGTTATCGGGAGTGGTTGAGACTGCTGCGTCTGTCATTTGTGTTTTCTTCCTTTGCGTTTCAAGCTCCTCTCGGGGCTGCTGCTCGTGCTGCTGCTCTTGCTGCTGCTCTTGCTGCTGCTGCTGCTGCTGCTCTTCCGGCTCCTGCTGCTGCACCAGCGCCTCGCTCTCCGGCAGCCACGGCTCGCCTTGTCCGTCGAAGTCGTTGCTGTCATCATTTTCTCTCCAGTCGCCTGCGGGGTCCAGCGGTGGCTCTGCGTCTGCTGCTGCAGATTCAGCTTCTGCTGCTGCTGCTGCTGCTGCTGCTGCTGCTGTGTCGGTCCAGTCACTTGCTGCAGCAGCAGCAGGAAGAGACGCCTCGTGCTGCTCCAGATGTGCTGAGCTGCGCCGCAGCGGGTTGTCAAGCAAATTGATCGAAGCAGCCTGAGGGCCCGCATCAGCTGCCTCTCGAGACTTCCTCCGATTGCTGCTGCTGCTGCTGCTGTTGCTGCTGCTGCTGCTGCTGTTGCTGCTGCTGTTATTGCTTGGTGCAGCAGCATCAGCTACGCCCTGGGGCTCAGCAACGGCCCGAGTTTCTTCAATGACAGACTCTACACTCCCTTGGGCTCCTTCCAGGGATTCCGTTTGCTGCACATTGTCCCCACTGACGGCAGCAGCAGCAGCAGCTGCTGCTGCCGTTGCCATTGCTGCTGCTGCAGTTATTGTTGAGATCAATGCCCTGGGCTGCTCGCTACTAGCAGCAGCAGAAATATCCCTAGCAGGCTGTCGAGGGCTGGACCCTGCAAGGTCTGCATAAGCCTCAACGGCCTCAGTTCCCTGGTGCTGCCTTTGCTGCTGCTGCAGTTGCTGCTGCTGCAGCTGCTGCTGCTGCAGCTGCAGTTGCTGCTGCTGCAGTTGCTGCTGCTGCAGCTGCAGTTGCTGCTGCTGCAGCTGCTGCTGCTGCAGCTGCTGCCGCTGCAGCGCCAACTGCTGCTGCTGCCGCCGCTCCTGCTCCTCATCTCGGGACTCAGCCCCGGCGGTGTCCCCCGAGTAATCACTATAAGCGCTTTCGTCCTCCTTTGCTTGCTGCTGCTGCTGCCGCTGCTGCTGCTGCCGCTGCTGCTGCTGCTGCTCCTGCTGCTGCTGCTCAAGCGAATACGAGCTGTCGTCCGACGAGGACTGGAAGGGTACTGCCAGCCTCGGCAAGGA